CACTAGAGCAGGTTGCTCCAAACCCCTGTGTCCAACCTGGGAGCCTGAGCACCCACAGCACCTCCTCTGCTCCTCCACAGATCGGTGCCTCCCTCTTTGCCAGCAGCGAGGGCTCGGGGCTCTTCATCGGCCTGGCTGGGACCGGCGCTGCCGGGGGAATCGCTGTCACCGGCTTCGAGTGGAATGTAAGAGACATGTTGTGTTAGCAAGGAAACGAGTTCCTCGAGCCCTGTCACCGCAGGTGGCTTCACACAATGTCCCACAAGGCTTGGGAGGAGCAGTGCAGGGGGTAATTAACACAACACTGCTAACTCAGCTTCTCCAGCCCGTGTCTAGTGCACGTATGGGGAGTCTGGAGCCAGCTCAGGTCCACGTGCTCAGGGGAAAGTTCATTGCAGAGCTAGTCCAGCCCCTGCAGACCCCAACAAGGAGATGGCCGAATAGGTCACCCATTCCCTGCTTCCCTGCACGTTGTATCCAGAGTACTTGGGTTCTGCAGTTAAAAATGCAGCATTTGGCTTACTTGGTGCTCTAAGAGTGGGGAATGGATGGCTAGAAGCTGAAGGGCTGAGGGGAGCTGGCTCTGGCTGGTGGAGCTGCCAGAGGGGGTCTCCACCATGATCTCATGCACCCCTGTCTGCTGTCTGAAGCCGTTTGGGGTTGTAAATGTGCACTTGAAGTGAGCCAGGGCCAGGTTAGGAGTGGTGGACAGGATCTAGCCCTGCAGTTAATGTCGAGCTGCAGCAGGATCAGTGTTGTCTTCTGGCTGTGCCATGTTCTTCCTTCCTAACAGGCAACTTACGCTCTTCTGGCACTTGCCTGGGTGTTCGTCCCGGTCTACATCTCATCTGGGGTATGTCCCATTGCTCCCAGCCTGCATGGCCTTGGCCATGTCCCCTGCTCCCTGCAGGGCTGTCACCACTGTCCTGTGAGACTCTGGTCTTGGAATAGAGCCTTCCCTGGGACCACCCCCAGAGGAGGGGGCCTGGGCAGGGCAGTGATCACTCTCTTTCCCCCTTGGCAGATTGTCACCATGCCCGAGTACCTCCAGCGAAGGTTTGGAGGGCAGCGGATCCGGATGTACCTCTCTGGTCTGTCGCTCCTGCTCTCCATCTTCACCAAGATCTCTGTGAGTAGCCCCCAGTCAGCTGTGGGACAAATCCACAACTGATTTCTACTGATCAAAAGGTTATTTGGGGGCTCAAACCTCAAGTAACCAAGTCAGGGGAGAGAAGCTGCTGCAGGAATCTCCAGGAGGGAGCAGGACAAGAGGCGGGAATTCATGGGCAGATTCCCTCTGCGGCACCCCGTGCATTCATAGGTAGATCCAGCAGTGATGCTCATGTTTGGGTGGCCCCAATAGATGTGCATCTGTGTGTCAGGAATCCTAAACTCATAGTGCACTCACCTCGCAGCAAAAGTTGTGGATGAAACGTGCTCAGGGGCTGAGTTGCATCGTCTGGGTTTTCTCCATGCTCCAGCAGTGATGCTTTCCAGCATCCCTTAGGGACCTGGCAGAGCCAGGGAAGCTGGAAATGCATCTGTTGCTTTAGGACACATGGGTTTTCTAAGGAAAGGAATATCTGCAGCTATAAGATGCCCAAACCTGCACAGAAAGAGTCTGATTTTCAGGACTTTGCTGGTAAATGTGAGAAGAGTTTATCCGAGGTAAAACAGCTAAAGAGGCTGTGACAACAGGCCTGGGGCAAGCCGGAGTGAGCCGGGCACAGACAGCCCTGGGGGGCTGAGACAGGGAGACAGAGATCAAGAGCAAACAGCTCAGGAAGCATCCGGAGGAGCAAACCTGCCGGAGGGAGCAATCCTGCAGGAGCGGGTGGATCTGACCCGGGGTCTGCTGCGTTCTGCATTTCACTGCCTGTGAGAAACAGGCTTTTGCCTGTGCCTGGCTGCAAGAACTGTGCTTTTGCATCGGGTGGCTGAGGGCAGGGGAGCCCATGCCCCAGCGTGTTTCCCCGCAGCGCGGCGCTCGGCGCCTGGCTCTGTGCTCACAGCTCCCTGCTTTGCCAGCACCAGCTTGCCTGGATGCAGCCTCGCTCCCTGCGTGGCGTTGCTGCATCCTCCTTCAGCCCCTGGGCTGAGCCCTGGGGGATCCTTTGAGCCACTTTCGAGGGATGCAGAGGATGGAGCAGCTCACAAACAGCTCCTCCGTCAGTGCTTAATGCAAAGGGAGAGGCTGCCCCTGCCTCGGGCAGACCCCAGTGCTGTGTGATCTGATGTTCCTGGCTCCTGGAGACCCCCCCATCTCCTTGCTCTTGGGCAAGGTGCTGTGCTTTGTTTAAAATGCAAGTTGCAGGGTAGATGGGAGCTCTTCCTGTGTCCCTGCTGACACAGGGATTTCAGTGTGCCAGAGGTGGTGCTGGTAACTTCACCAGTGCAGTTGCCACCTGTATTTCCCCTACAAAACCATGTCCTGTCATGCTGGAGGGAATTCTTCCCATAAAACTGGTATTCTTTATACCCTTATCATTTATGGCTTGAAAATCCTATGCCATTTCTCCTGACATCAGCCTGGTGGCTCCTGGAGCATCAGTTGCATTTGCAAGTTTGGGCAGTGACACTTTGGTTATTCCCTAATTGTCCTAATGTTCAGTAAACTGCTGTCACTCCCCTCCTGTGTGCTGCTCAGGAGACATCTCTCCCATGCTCCTGACAAAGACCCAGGAGGAGCTTGAGGGAGATGCTGGAGCATCCTTGTCTGTGGAGTTGGTGTGAATCCCTGCTGGTGTTTGAAAGGAAAGGTTGGAAGCTGGGGTAGGATTTCTGGGGGGATAGTTTGTTCTGGCTGGTCTGAGTTTTGAAGAAAGAACTCCGTGATAGTTTGAGGGCTGGTTGTCTTTGAGCCTCTACCACAGACATCCCCTCTTCCCTTACAAAACAGTGCTCTACCATGCCATGGTGTGATGTACTAGATCCCTTTGGATTCCAGCCTCTCCATGGCTTTGCCCAGAAGGGATGGATGTCCTGCAAGTTCATTCCTAGCTCGGGAGACTGTTGTGGAGTCACCCCTAGCCTAACACCAGATGAACCTGTCGATGACCTTTGTGCAGAGCCTGCACCCATGGGAACCTCTGCGGTTCTCCTGGCCCTTGTCAGCACAACCCTGTGTGTGGAGCCTGGTGGACACTCCCTGGTGCCTCTTCCTGTGCCTTTTCTCAGCCAGTGCTCGAGTTTGTTTGGGCTGATGAGTTTTCTCTGCTCTGAGTCACTCAGGATGCAACAGGAGAGGAATCGACCCAGTGAGGGGATTATCTCGGCTCCATTCATGGTACATCACACAAACAATGGCTGTTTCCAGCAGTGGGTGGGATGAATGTCTGCAGACATGCGGGGTGTTGCCAAACTGTCCCAATGTCACATCCCTGGTGGTGACAGCAGCGTGGGATGGGAGTGTGAAACTCGGAGCAATGCTGCTCCCTTGGCTCTTCCTTTGGGGCAGGAAGATGATGCTCCCCCCTCTCCTGGTGCTCACCCTTTGGAGGACCCCAACCTCCTGTGTTTCATGGCAGGGTGCAGCAGGGCAGCCCAAAGTCCTGCTCAGAGATGGTGTCCCCATCGGCTAGGAACATGTAAGGAGTGGCACAGGCATCCCAGCCTTGGCAAAGAGCCTCTGCAGGCTCCTCTGCACCCTGGGTAACTTGTCCTGCTGAGGCTTTGGCTTCACTAGTTGTTAAGTCCAAGCTGTCTCTAAAGCCAGCTTTCATTGGGAAGGCATTACCTGATGTTGGGTAAGAACGAGTTTCCAAGTGAGGTCACCAGTGGAGGCAGGGATCTTGCTGGATTAGGAGACCTGACTTCAAAGGCTTCTCCTCTCCTTTTGCAGTTGAAAGGACTTATTTTATGACTAGGTCATGCCTGGGTTTAATGAGCTTGTTTTTGTATTCGGGATGCCTTATTAACCACTCGCTCACATGTGCTTCTCTTCTTTCCCACCCTAAGCAGAATTAGCAGGAAGGGAGGTGGAGATACCTCAGCTTCCTCATAGCAAAGGCTTAGACTCATTTGCAGACGACTGCAAAAATGATTAAGCATTGAGAAAGCCAAAAGAAGCAGTTATGAAATAGCTTCTCCAGGGCTGAGTCTTTGTAGTTGGGCTCTGGGGAAGGGTTGCTGGAGAAGGTGGTAGTCTTCTATGGAAGGGCATGGCTTTCTGGCTGGTTCTGAGAGAAATGATGGAACCCTCCAAGGGATACTAGGAGCTCCAGAAGACACCAAGGATAGTGGCACTGTGCTAGGGAGGCTTAAGATGTTTTGGGTCCCCACTTTAGGTTGCATTGGGAGGCTGAAGGCCCTTGGTTGGGGCTTTTCTGCCTTGCAGGTGAAGCTTGCACTGCCTGAACGGCTTAGCTGTCCTCTTGTAGGGCTGCTTGGTGGTGTCTGTGGTATCAAGCTTTGGCTGGATTGCATTTGTGGTGGAAAGGTCTCAGAGGAGCCACTGGTAGAAGTTGTGGCATGGTTACCCTCAAGGTGGTCATTCCAGGCCTGAATTCCCTCTCAGTATTAGAAAAGGCTCTCCCAAAGACATGGCCAAGCCCAAGTGCAGCTGAGGACATGTAGTACCTCCCTTGGGAATGCCAGGAATGACTGTGGTGTAAAGCCTGGTCCAGATGTTGTGGAACAGTCCCTGAATGAAGATCCTCAAGATCACTGTGTAAGTGCTCTTCTGGTTAGTTACATTTGTGATTTAATCAACGTTTTGCCTAACGGTGTGGGCTTATCTACTAGGGAACGGGCTTTCATGTTGTGCTGAAGCTGGATGTGTGCTGGGTTTCATGGCTGATGGAACCGTGTCAGATGGGACACAACTTGGTTCTTCTATTACGTGGTCCTGCCTGGCGCCTCTCCATTGCCTGGCGATGGTCCTCAGCTCCTGCTCCTGGAGCAGCGCTGGGAGGAGGAAGGGCAGAGGTATGATATGGGAAATAGCATCAATCCTCTGCATTACTAATCCCAACCAACTGCTCCCGCATGACCAGGCAAGAAAGCTCTGCTGTTTGGGGGGTGGTTTCTGGAAGGTGTGTGAAGAAAGACGTCAAACCAGAGCTGATGTCTTGGCTGTGGGAAGCCGTCACAGCTCCGGGCGAGGGTGTAGAGTTGTCTTGCCTCTTCCTGCCCCTTCTGGCCTTGTTTCCTTCTCCAAACAAGGTTTTTGTGCAGATACCCCAGCAGAGCACTGGGGATGGCTGGATCTGTGCTGCACGTGGAGACATGGTGGTGGCACGGGCACTGCTTGCTGTGCCTGGTCCTTTCCTCCCATGGCATCGCTGCTTTTGTTGTGTCCTAGCTCTGAGTCTCTGCTTTACATCTCATTCCCATACAGGTGTGAGCAGACCTCCCTGTGTGGGTGCAGCCCTCCCATGGGTGGGAAATGGTGGTCACTTTGGGATGTCAATCATGTCAAGCAGTGTGGTAGCTGAGTGAGCTGCAGGCCTGCACATACTCCTGGCATCCCTGTGGGATGTGGCGCAGGCATAGGAGATGCTGGGGCTGGTGGAGGCAGTGTGTTGGACATGAAGTCAATCTATTCTTCTATGGCCAAGAAGAAACCCCAAACCTCCTCCAGGGGCTTTGCAAGAGGGGCTGCAAAGGTCAGGGGATGTGTTGGAGGATGCATTTGTGCTGGTTCATGTTGGGGTGTAGGACCTCTAGGCAGCTGCTTCTCCTTCAGGGCCAAAAGCATCTCCTGCCATTTGCCCATGCCTGGGTTTCCCTGTTTGTGCAAAACCAGGAGATACTTCCCCAGAGATGCTCAGCAAAGAGGTGGCTTGTTGTTGAGGATCAGCAGTCCTGGGGGTCTTGTGCTCCATACTGGGGCTGCCCACATCTGCTCCTCACCATGGAGTGGTTGCAGAGGTTGAAATGCTGCTGCAGCCCACAGGGAAGCACCACCCTGAACACCCAGCACCCACCTGAGCACCTCTAAAAGGCTCAGTTGACATGGCACATTTCTGACCCTTACATCCCACTTCCTGCATCCCACTGAGCCCAGTTACAGAAGACTGGAGCTGCTTGTTCTGCTTTTTGGGAGTAGATGGCCCATGACACCCATCTGCAGCAGTGACATATGGGTCCCGTATGGGACCCCAGCTTCAGCACTGGCTTTGAAGGTGTCCTATTGGCACATGCAGTACAACGTCCTCTGTACTCAGTGTTGACCATTTCCCTGCCATGCCACTCCTGCAGCAGCCCTTGGGTGCTGTCTAGAAAGTGGATGTCACCTTCCCCAGCCCCTGTGTTTCTTATTCCATGCACAGACTGACCTGTACTCGGGGGCCCTCTTTGTGCAAGTCTGCCTGGGCTGGGACCTTTACCTCTCCACCGTCCTGATGCTGGTGGTCACGGGGCTCTACACCATTGCAGGTAGGTTGCTCAGTGTCTGCTGGCCTCAGATCTTTCTTCTTTGGCTTAACCACACCACTTATATTCCTGCTTTTACTTTATTATTATTATTACTTTTTGCTCCTGGAAAGTCTTTGGGGATTTATATTAATGGGGTTCACATTCCCTGCCCTACCCAGGCAGTACCTGAGCATCCTTCTTGAGCGTCAGCTCAAGCAATGACTCAAAATGTGACCTCTGCTTTGTCATTATGGCTTTCCATTTTAATAACTCCTCCTCCATCACGTAGTTAAGTGCTTTCTTGTGCGTGTACCTATTTGTACCAGCAATAATCAGGGCTTCTCCTATTACACGACTATTACTATGGAATCTACAGTTTGAGAGCCCTTCACCCCACTCGTTTCCCTCCCACTTGCCCTGCCTGCAGTGCAACTTGCTGCCTTCCCTCTGCAAAGCTCTTGGGAATATTCCTTGCCCATTCCTCCCCATTGTGGGACCAGCTATTTTTGTGCAGGGTCAATCCATATGGTTCCTTTGGGATCTGGAGACAATGAGGGTTTGGAGCTGGAGCTGGAAATTGTGGGTTCCTGGCTTTCAGCCCCACTCTTGGACCATGGGACTGTGTATCCCTGCCAGCCCTTTTGGTTATTACTTTAGCAGGGACATTCTCTGCCCTGGTAGTGCCACTGGAGACACCCAGCATTAGATTCTCCCTCTCTATCTCATCCCAGCCATCAAAATGGGAATCAGTTTAAGTATATCCGAAACATGGTGGATTTTGCAAGACTTTGGTTTTAAGCAAATCCCATCTCAGTTTTTTTCCTGCCCACAAGGCTTGTCATGATGCAAGGGCATTTCAGTGTGTGTGTGATCATTGCGTCACCCTCATCCCAAGAACATCCCACCGGCATGGCCGGGGAGGGTGCAGCCCTGAATTCCTGGGATGTGAGTCTGTGACTGGGGTTGAAGCTGGTTCAATTTTGGACTCATGTCCTCCAGCTCCGCTACTTCTTAATGCTTTTGCTCATGTGCTGAGTAATTGCTTTCTGGCTATGTGGGCAGGTCCTGGCTTTGCAACAGGTCCAGAGGGAGAGCTTGGGATGGAAAGGGAGGAATGTTGCTGGCTGGCTGGCCAAGGGGGACCCCACTCAGCATCACCTGGAAAAATAACTGTGGGGTTGGGAGAACTGAGGGGTGTATGAAGGGGAAACCTCTATAATGGTTGGACTTGATCTTAAAGGTCTTTTCCAACCTAGTTGATTCTATGATTCTAAGGTGCTAGGGAGAGGTGGGATGAGTGATTAGATCAACATCGTGAATGTGGTTTGCTTGCTGGAGCATCCAAAGAGCCTGGTGGGCATCCTCCTGACGACATGGGGCTGCATCCTCCCCTCCCGCTATCCCTTGTCTCCCCTTCCCTTCCCACGGTTATTGTCTGTCCCCCCGTACATCTATGGGGTGCCATTCCCCCTCCACGCTCCCACTGCAGCCCCCAAGTGTCACAGCACAATGCCAGGCACATCCCCGCCAGCACGGGCAGCTTTATTGGGGCTGGAGGAGCGGGCGCCGGTGGCTGTGTCTCGCCACGCTCTGCCTTGCTCTCGTGCAGGAGGGCTGGCGGCCGTCATCTACACCGACACGCTGCAGACGCTCATCATGGTCCTCGGAGCCATCGTGCTGGCGGTGAAAGGTAAGAGCTGGGGCAGCACAGATCCCCCTGCCAGGGGGAGCCCCTCTGCCCGCTTCGTGGTCTCAGAAATAAATAAGAAGACTCAGTCTAAGCAGTTCGGTGGCCAAGATGCACAGCAGGGCTTTGGCCTGTAGCAGTTGCCTAAAGAAAGTCTGTGATCCCCTGTGTCCCATGTTCCCTGTGCTTTCCCTATGTCCCATTCCTCTGGGTGGAGATGGCATGAAGCATCCCCCTGGTCCCCCATGTAGGGACCTTCCTGTAGTCATCGCTGCTCTACATATTGGCCTCTAGTCCACGCATCCGAGAGATGGATGGACTGTCAAGTATTTGATGGTGAAGCAGCATTTCCAGTTCTGCTCTGGGAAACTTGCAGTGCTGTTGTGATGGTGGCTTCAGACAGGATCCCACCATGGCTGGAGGTGGTGCTGGTACAAGGCACTGCTGCAGGGGATTGATTCCATGGGGATGCAGAGCATGGAGCCGTGCCTTCCTCCTGGTTGGAGCAAGCATGGTTCATCCCCAGCCCTCTCTGAACACTCAGCACTGTTGTGTCTCTGTACCTTTACGTGCAGAGCACCCTTGTGAGGCTGGGAACATTCATCAGCCTTGTTCTGCCATTGGGGCTCTGGGCCCTGAGGAGTAGAAGGCAAAAAGTCAGGTCCCAGCTTCAAAGGCAGGCGTTTAACTACAGAGGACGATTCCAGAGGCACTCCTGAGATGATTTCCACCATTCCCTGGAGCAGTCTGCTTCGGCAGGTAGGCAGGAGGAAAGCTTTGACCCAATGCCACACGGGAGCTCTGCTGTGGAGGTGGGAGCAGCTCTGGACATGCAGCCAGCCCGGTCCTAAGGCTGCTCCCCTGTGCAAAAGCAGAGCTTGGTCCCGGGTGAGCCCTGTGCGAGCAAGATCTATGTACACAATACAGATGGAAGGACAGATACTTCCCTGAGAAGGGGCAATAATATCAGCTACCCCAGGAAGAAGGCAAGAGGAGCACATTGCCTGTCCAAGCAGATCCAAGTGGTGGCCACAGCCTTTGTATTAGCCGAGGTGCTTGGACGTGGCTGATTGTTGTCTGAAGCTGTAGTTGGCCATGGGGCTCTCTCAAGCTTATGTCTGGTGTGTTTGGCTGGGAAAATCCCCTCCAGTGCCTGCAGAGCCCGGCTCTTTTTGGCTTTGCCAACCTGCATGGAGTGTGCAGGGAGCTGAGGGTGCCTGGGAGAGGGATTGATCCAGGGGAGCCAAAACAAGCTGCTGGTCACAGTTTTTGTCCTCAGGTCTCAGGAGACCTCAGGACCTGGGGCTGGTGTGTTGGCCTTTGTCCAGCTGTTGCCAAGCTCATCTAATAAAGGATACTCTCCATGGTCTATGTTGTTCGTACCTTCAGGCCATGACTTCTGCACCAGTGATGCTAATATTCATCTGCTAAGCCGTGGCTGCTCTGGGTCTGCTCTGCCTGGCCCCTTGCCTCCCTTATTGCTGCTGAAGGGATGAGAAAAGACATTGCTTGGCTCTGAGGTTGCAGGAGAGCAGGAGGGGTGTGCAAATCCTCTTGGGTGTAATGCTGGGGAGAGCTGGACCACAAGTGGGTGCAGATTAAGGGGCTGTAGACATCACTTTGCTTTACAGAGAGCTCAGTGGCTGTTTCAGCACGTGGTGGCTCCAGCAGTGGCTCCAGCATCACGGATAGGAGAGACCATCCATCCTGCACCCACGTGGCGTTCACATAGGGATCCTGGTGGAGCCCATGGGCTGCAGCCCAGCATCCGCAGGCTGAGCTCCCGCTGTCCTTATGCAGGTGTAGGTGTCGTGACTTGCCAGTGAACACCTTTGGGAAGGGAGCAGGCCCGCACCCCCGGGCACAAATCTCTGCCTCTGGAGAGCCTTTGTTGGTGCCCAACACCCATGCAAAGCTTGGGAGTAGCCGGCGCCTGGATAAGCCAAGCGCTGGAGGGGGGCCAGGGCTGCTTGCACAAGAGCAGGAGGAGTTTACCAGTGCTGACTCCCTGGTTTGCAAAGTGGGGGCACGTTGCATGATGCCGCTTTGTAAACTCCCCCAAATCCTCAGGTTAAAGGGGGATGCCCTGGGATGGGGACGGGGATGCAGGGAAAGGGTTTGTCTTCAGGCGGAAGGGGACAATGGAGCAGGATGGGTGTCTTAGACATTAAGATTTGCTCAAGTTGGCATTTGATGGAGATCCCAGTGTCCAGCATGTGATGCCTGAGGGATTTGCTCTTGGTCTAAAGACTGCAGCATTCTTGGGGATGGTCCTGCAGGAGGGTGACTTCTCAGGAGCATGTTCCCATGTTGGAGGAGCTGAGCTGAGGGTCCTGTGGGCAGGGTGAAGGGGATGCAGGATGCAATAGCTGGAGCAGACGGGGGCAAATCCACTGAGGGATACTCATGGGTCTTGCTTTGAGTCCGTGGAAATCCCAGAGCCTCCTGTCTCTCACCCCGAGCAGCTGCTGTGGGTATGGGGGTGCCAACACCTCCCTGCATATCTCCAAGCTGCTGCATGGGTGGCCACAGCACATGGAGGCCGGTGCCTCCCATCTCTCCCCCATCCAAAAAGCGATGCCTCTGGCTCTGGAATTCTCCTGCTGGAGGTATTGGAGGAGCTGCAAGGAGCATTCAGCCCCCCAAGAGCAGGGAGGTGGGGGGTGCCAGGGCAGAGCCTGGGGCTGCTGGCTGTGGAGTAGCAAGGAGGAGCACCAAGGCAGCTGCCAAGGGCTCGGAGGCTGCTTGCTAAGGCTTGTCCATGGCACACACTCCTCAGTGGGGCTCAGGCCAAGACCTAGACCTTGGATCCCATTTTGTAGGAGAGAAAGCAGTGAAGGTGGCTTTTTTTGTTCTTTTTTTGTTCTTTTTTCACTGGCTGCTGGAGCTGCATGGGGGGATGCTAGGGAAATGCTCACAGGGGAGGAAGACATTTGAGCACCTTAAGCTGTAGAATATCAAGTCAAAGGCTGCCTAATCTTGCATTGGATAGTCCTAGGTGAGTTCCCCCTGCGCTGGGACCGGGGAGCTTTAATAAACAAGTTGCTTTTACAGTACGAGGTCAAAAGAGGTGGGTCCCTTGAGGAGCCTTTGTCCTGGGACACAGGTCACCCTCCGAAGGGAGGTTGGGCTGTCGTGGGACCTGCTGTGCAAAACGATAATAGAAGAGTCTCTTAAACAACTAGAAGCAAACACGATCATGATGGAGCCCTCTCTGGGCAGCACTTCTGAGTCAAAGGGTCAGTGAGTTTCACCAGCTGATCTCAGGCCACTGAGCTTTGCTGCACTCTAACCCAATGGTGCTTTCCAGCTTTCAATGAGATCGGAGGTTACTCCAACCTGGAAGAGGCCTATTTAAAAGCTGTGCCATCCAAGATTGTTCCCAACACTACCTGCCACCTGCCCAGAGGCGATGCAATGCATCTCTTCCGAGATCCAGTCTCTGGAGACCTGCCCTGGACCGGGATGACTTTTGGGCTGTCTATCATGGCCACGTGGTACTGGTGCACTGACCAGGTAAATGTAAACAAGATTCCCCTGCCCTATGTAACACAGCATTGCCTGGGGTCCAGGCACGCTCTACTACCGTTCTCACCATGGAAGTCCACCTTCACCAGTGCCTAGTGGTCCTTCTGGCTGGTGGGCTCAGGAGGCTTCTTTTTGGAGTCAATGGAAGTACCTGGGGCTCCAGCAACCTTGCTCTTGAGGTGCTTGGACTGGGACAGTTTGGAAAGTGGGATGCCAAGGGGTGTCCTCATCTCCTCGGTTGTCTTCTGGCTTTCTGGCAGGGAAGTTAAGCACTTGCTTGATGTCCTGGGGTTGCTGGCTGAGAGGTGGCCGGGCTGCTTGCTGGGGCTGAAGGCTTTGCTCTGCCAATAGGGCTGGCTGCCTGCAATGGTCTTTTTGGGTTCAGCTCCATCCCCTCTGTATTTGGTGGCCCCGGGGAGTTTCTCATGTGTTGGGGAGCAGGAGACCTCCTTGTTTTGCTCTCGGCCTGTGGAGTTCCTGGGGCGGTAGCGGTAGATGTGAGTCCCCTGTTCGTTAAAGAGCAGAGAAAGAGATGAGCTACTGCTGTTGTGAGGATGCTGTTGCCCTGCAAGGACACCCCTTCACATGTCTGTGCCATGGACTTGGTCCTCATGGACAAATCCCTTTATCACTTGGTGCACTCCCTTGCCCAAAGTCTACTGAGACTGGTGGCAGCTCAAACCCATTGCTGCTCCTCTGTTTCTTGCTCTGGCAACACATTGTCCTGCACATCACAGCATCTCGGCAGCCCAGAGGCTGCCCAGAGCCAAGTCCCTGCTGCCTGGAGATCCAGGACCAAGGATGCCAATGGCATCTCAACATCTTCTCCCCAGCAGCAGCCTGAGCACCCATCTTAATCACCCAAGCACTCATTTCAGGCCCAAAGAGCATTCAGTCATCCAGACCCAACCTGTGGGATTAGGCGGCTACCAAGATGAGATGAAAGGATGGAGAGGAGGTGGGATGAGGAGACAACAGTGAGCTGCAACACCGCTGTGGGGGTGGCTGTGATTGCCTGGACTGAGAGACACGTTTGGATTGGGTCTGAGCATTGTTAATCTCAGTTCTGGCCTGGGTAAAGCCTTAATGCATGGCTGTGGTCACCAGATAGTTATCTTCCCCTTTGGGTGTGCCTGCACCGCAATGTGGAGGTGTGATTGCACCCTGTGCAGATGTACCTGGGCGAGATGGGATCTAACAAGTGCAGGTGCTGATGGCAGGATGAGCTGGGGCTGGGAGGCTGCAGAGTCAGCTGCACTGACCTGCCCTGCCTATGCCCTGACCCTCACTGTGCTGCTGGCATCATCTCAATGTTCGGTGATTTAGCCCCAGTATCCCAATGGCATCTCTGGTCCTCGAGCAGACACCTCCCACTTTCACCATGGGGGCTGCATTCAAGCAGTTTAGCTTAAGTAATGCTAGATGGAGTTAACCAGATTGCTTAAAATCAGTGCTAAGCTCTGAGATGGCTTCAGGTGGGAAGGACAAAGGGTGGTTTAGCTTCTCCCCTTCGAGGTCATCATGTGCTGATGTGGTGCACATGGTACCTGAGCTGGGTGGTGTGTCCTGTGGTTCCTGACATGCCCTGGCTCTCACGTAGAAGCTAAACCATGGCTTCCCCAAGCATCCCACCCCAACAACCCGCACGCCATCCTTTTTGCCCACCACAAGCTCAGGAGTTGCCAAATGCTGCTGGGTGCTGAGCACTTCTCTGTAAGCCTTTGGGGAGAGTCTGAGCTCTTTTAAAGTCAGCACTTACGGATTTTGCCTGTTTAAGAGAGATTGCCTCAAAGCCCAGGGTTGGCTGTGTTGTGGATGGCCATGGCTTGGCCAGAGCTTTGAGGTGTGATGGTTTGGGCAGTGTGGGTGGTGAGCTGTGGTAGGAGTTGGCTGGACTCTGTGTCCATTTCATTGCAGCCACTCTTCGGGGAGGAGGTTGAACAGAAGGGGCAAGAAGGGAGAGGATGGTGATGGTGAGGAATGGTTGATCCTGGCAGGAGGACACACTGCTGCGGTTGCACCGGGCTTTGTGGTGCTATGGGATAACACAAATCCATTGCTGGTCTGGAGAGAAACCCAGCCAGGGGTTTGGGTACACGTCTATGTTTGGAGATGTGTTTGGGCCCAATGCCCAGTGACTCCAATGTCTGGATATACTTGGGATGCACTTTGGCAAGGAGGAGGCTCACATGGAATAGATGTTGGTGGCTCCTCAGCCATTGCCTGGCTCTCCCACAGGTCATTGTCCAGCGGTCGCTCTCTGCCAAGAGCCTGAGTCACGCCAAGGCTGGCTCCATCTTGGCCAGCTACCTGAAGATGCTGCCCTTGTTCATTATCATCATGCCAGGGATGATCAGCAGGGTCCTGTACCCAGGTAAGGGCTCTGCCATGTGGACATGGAGCTGGAATGCAGGGGGGGGGCTTGCCTAGAAACCTGTGCTCTGCACAGACGTGGGGGCTCTGCAGGGACAGGATGAGACCTGAGTGTCTCCTGCAGTGCATCAGCCAACACTACTGTGCTCTATTAACCATGCAGCTGGGTGGGAACAGGGTTGTGTGTGTTGATGCTCTGAGGATAACTTGGGTGCTGTGTTCTCAAAGTGATGGAAAACCCATGATGTTTGCCTTGAGTGAGCCTCCACCTGCATTTTGGGCTACGGGCCAGCACATAAGAAGTGTGGATCCAGAATAAAGATGTTTGGTAGGGGATGATGGTGAATCCTGTTGGATTTGAGGTTCCTAGAGAGTTAATCAAGGGTTGCTTTGGTTTATTAATTTTACACATGGGAGGAACTATTTGCTGCGCATTTCCATCATGAGGGCTGGTTTTCCTAATCCTGATGGTGGTGTTAATTATCTGCCTTTCATCAAAGGGCCAGAACAAGTTATTGCAGGAACACCAACGTAACTGGCCACTCTGAGCAAGGTGGCACCAGGGACCTGGGTGCAGAGCATCAAAGCAGAGCTCCTCACCCTGCACAGCTCCGCAGGGCACGAGGGGACATTTGATGTGCGAGGATTAAAACCCTGCTCTGAGCTCTGTGTCACTGGCTGGGAAGGGAGAAGCGAGTGGATTTGGGGCTTGTAAATTTAATTCCCTGTAAATACAGATTAGATGCTCAGCTCGGGTAACCTCAGGTGGCTTCAGTGATTTCAGCTGCTGATTTAGCCCTGGGGGTTTGAATGCCCTGAAAACAGCAGGTGGGGAGCCTTGAGAAACCAACTGGCTTCATAGTGGTGCAAGAGGCTGCAGTGCTTGGGTGGAGAGAGAGAATTGACCCTGTGATCCCCCTGAGCGGATGGGGTGATGTTACTGCCACGGTGGGGATGCTGGCGAGCTCCAGCAGCAGGGACAGTGGTGTATGTACAGCCCGAGCTCCAGCAGTGGGGATGCTGGTGCATCCCAAGCTCCAGCAGTGGGGCTGCTGGCGTGCAGCCTGTGGTCATGCACCCTGTGGGGTGACAAGGTCTGGCGTCACTCGTGGAGCAGCCACGAAGCTGCTGACTGCAGGGCTCGCCCACAGAGGTTGCCATCCCTGTTTCTCTGTCTTGCTCTGCCTAATTATGTGTCCGAGTGCTTTTACTTTGATGCTAATCACCTTTGCAAGTAGCTAGAAAACAAGCTGGAGTAGGACACGCCTGCACGCACAGTCTGTCCCTGCCTGGGCATGATGCCACTGCTGATGGGCTGTGGGATGGAGCTCCATCCCGCAGCTCACTGCCATGGGATAATCCTTAATTGCCCCAAAACCTTCCCTTCACCATCCATTCCCATTGCACTCCCATACACAAATCGCTGTGTCATGGCCACCACCTTCCTGACCAAGAGCACCTTCAGGGTGACTCCTACCATAGCTGAGTGTGGGGCATTATTGTCCTGTATGAGAAGCCTGATTTCAGCATGTAGGACGCGACACCAAAGCTAGGGATGGCACCACACCTTGGCTAAGCTGGCTGGGTCACCTCCAGGTTTGCAACCTTTGTAGGGTGGAGAAGTATAGGGAAGGTTATAGCAAGAAGTCCTACCTGCGTGGCACTGCTGGGGTAGGAGCTGTTGCCATCCAGGATGGTGCGGGGCAGCACACACCTGATCTCCACGGCATTGCTCCTCCTCTTGGTCACATCCTCCGCTCGGGTGTGCTTTAGGGATGGGAGGCTCCCCAGGGGGCTGAGGAAGGTGCCTCGGGTGATGTGAGGGTCACTGAGCTTCCTCTGGATGGGAAGGATCTCCCCGTTGTGGGTGACATCCGAGTTGGTTCTCCGGAGTGGTCCATATCGGTCCCTCACCTCGAAGTACTCGTCTGAGATGGAGGAGGCGTTGGAGCGGCGGTAGCTGTGGTCAGCAGAGCTGCTGGAGTAGCTCTCCTGGTCACTGAGGGTGATGTACTCCTCCTCCTCCTCCTCCTCCTCTTCTCCCAGCCCATTGTGGGTGCAGGGAGGCCCTTTGTCTTCCTGTGGCCCTGCCATTGACCGGTCTGGCTGGAGATGACAGGTCTCCATTGAGGCTCCATTGGTGTTCTCCTCTGGTTCCTGCTTTGCACCCACATGGTCGGCCAGCAGTGGTTGTGTGTCACCCTCCAGGGCAGTGCTACTGTCACAGGCTGTGGTGACTTTGGTCACGAGGATGCCAACAGGAGTAGTCCTTGGCTTTGGAACTGGAGGTTTAATATCCTCCGGTGTCTCCTCTGGTGGCTTCAATTGGTGGCCCAATGGTGAAGTGGCAAATGTTCCCGACTGCTTCATTGTCCAACTGGTGCATTCAATGGGGCTGGTAGTGGTGGCTGCGGGAGCTTCCACGGGGATCTGTGGGGTCTGTCTTTGGCAGGGGGACACCAGTGGTGGCTCTTGGTCTGAGTTCCTCTTGGCCTCCATCTCCCTGTTCTTCAGCATCTGCCGGTGCTGGGCACTGGCCTGGGAGACATCACACACTTTGATGCGGTTCATCTGCGAGAGCTTCACGTTCTTTATCGTGGGGTCAATGATGTTGATGTAGCCCAAGACTTCGCTCCCAGGCTCAGGGTCAGGCTCAACCCAGGTGGGCAGATAGTCAAACATGTTGGCTTTCTCCAGGTTCAGGAGGCCGGGGTGGATGAGCAGGGAGAGGTCAGCCACATCTCCGTGCCTGTCACCCCCCTGGCCTTCAGGCAGGGCTTTGCCTTTGTTGTCCACCTTCTGATTCTTGTCCTGGTTCTCAGATGAAGTCTTGCTGATCTGGTCAGCGCTCTTGGCCTTCACGAGGGCATACTTAGGGTTTATCAGCTTCTTCACCACGGCGTTGGCCGGTGTCACCGGCACCACGGAGGGCAGCGTTACAGGCTCAGGTTCGGGCTCTTCACCTATGGAGATGGATTTGAGGCTCACCCCTTTGGACATGAGGTAGAGCTCCTGGAACTGCTTGTCGAACGCCTCCACCACTTGGCCTGAGAGGACCGTGATGACGTTTCGGTCGGTCCTCGCCGCAGACCAGGTGAAGCTGGAACAGAAACATGTTGGAAAGTCAGTGCTTGCTGGTAAATACCACGCCTCTGCCCAGCCCTGGCTTTCCCCGAGGGATTGCTGGTGCTGGCAGGGACATGATCTCACCGTAAACATCAATCATAATGAGATCGAAGGAATAGCTCTCAACCCAGATGAGAATGAAGGGTTGAAGTCTTGAGCAGACTGGGACTTGAAGTAAAAGTAAGAGGCATTTGCTGTGGGCCAGTTAGTTTTTTACTTCAGTGTTGGCTGCTTTTCCTTTCTCAGTTTGGGTTAGTTAAGAAAAGAGATTCGTAAGTGGATGTGCTTTTTGTTGTGGCCAGAAAGTAGGAAATATTTCAGTTCTGTGTTTATGGAACTCATCTTTTACAGACGAAAAGCTTGCTGGGACTGATCTATTTCTACCAAAGTAAGTTTTCATTTGGATAGATTGGAAAACACTTTGGCTAGGAAATGTTTAACTGGAAAAGCTGAGGTTGATGTGAGAGCTTGGGCTGGTTGCAGCTTGGTGCTCATCACATCCATTGGCAGAAGCATTTGGTGTGTTTTACCACCTCCAAGGAGGAGGGGTGTCCTAGACCTGGCTGTGGGTTGGTGGGAACCCCTTGGGTCCCACCCCATACATCACACGGGCCTTGAAAGATCATCTCCCAGTTTAGGAGGAGGGGAGAAAGTCTGGGACAGGGTCCTAGAGTCATGCTGGGCAAGGAATAGGGCCTGGACCACACGGCTCTGCATTGGTCCTTTGACCAGCACCTCCATGGGGTGGGCAAGAGGAGATGCTGCTGATTACCTGTAGGATCCGCACATGGCCCGATCTCCATCCACAAACATGAACTTCTGGGCCAAAGCCCCCTTGAACTTGGTGGCCGAGCGCGTGAAAAACTCTGTTCCCCCTGTGCTCCGGACTCGCAGGTTCTGTAGAGCAAAGGCAGGGCAGTGAGTGGGAACAGGAGGAAAGAGCTGGCCTTAGAGCATCATTCACCCCTCCACTGATACCCCCGTGGATGCTCCACAGTGGGAAATACTCTTCACGGCCAGCTTAGAGGAGGCCGCAGCAATGGGAAGATAAAATAACTTGCCTGAGGTCATGCAGCAAACTATGGATTTGGTTTCCAGAATTTCCTGCTTTGCCCATGTATCGGGCAACATTTTCTCCCTCTTGAACTCGGCGCTGCCTGCATCCGTGGGTGAGCAGCGTGTGAGAGTGCTGCCAAGTGCTTCCCATCTCCTGCGATCTATGCAAATGCCACCATGGGAGAGGTTTCTTCACCTTCTCCCCACTGCGAGATGCACAATGGTTTTAGGAGGAGGTGGTGACCCCAGGACAGTGCGTGTGGACCTGATGGCGGTGGGTTTGTCCTCCATGAGGATCCCCATTGTTGTCCTCCTAAATCTGAGCATCTAGCCCTGTTTTTAGGGATGGGTGGGGAAAAGATGACAGTGAGGCAGCATCTTTTCACCACTGGGGAACAAACTCCAGGGATGTGGGCTAAAAGAGCAGGTCCCTGTGAATACGGCCAGGAAGCGAGGTGTCCTTTCCCAAGGGAGCCTGATCATGGGTGGACAGCTCTAAGAAAACAGCTTTTATGTCCAGTCTGTTTCATGCCTCTCTGCATCTCCAGGGAGGGCACCAGCACATTTCTGCAGGCGAGCAGATAGCATCTCACTGCAAATGGTCTCCCTTGGGGGGAGAGAAAGTATTTTCTTATGAAAGTGCCTGCATTCCTCCTGTGCGTGCCGGGATGTTGGTAACGCCGTTGCTGAAGGCACCGTGTCGTCACGAGGTCGTGCCCTCCATGGCTGGGTTTTTTGGTGTGTTTTGTGGGTTTCCTTGGTGTTTTTCACAATAGGAATGACAAGTATTTGCCCTCCCCACCTCCAGCTCTTCTCTGT